GTGTTCAACCGGAGCATCGGGTAACATCTGACCATGAACATCAATCGGAGCTGGGATGTTCTGGTTCGGATCATCATCATTTATTCCCAAGTTTCGATTCATATTGCGTAGTGTATTCTCTAACTCGTGATCGTAGGGAAACAAGGGTTCTCTTCCTCTCCGTGTATTTGGCATACAAGGAGGACAGTTCTAAAAAAAATCAAAAACAATAAAAAAAAGTAAAAGCAAGAAAATATCAATTAAACTATAGTAATAAGTTCAAGTTAATCTAAAAGCTATATTCCCCAGCAACGGCACCAAAATTTTATACGCTCAAACTTACTTCTCAAATAAGAAGTAAAGCGGTCGTGTCAAGTAAATAACCCAACTAGTGAGGTTGGAATCGTTCCCACGAGGAAAATAGTCTAGACTTAACTTCAACCTGTTATTACTATTGTTTGGTCAATGACTTCCTTGGAAAGTAAAAAAGCAATAAAAGGGGGGGTTTGTAATTCTAAATGAATGAAAATAACTAACGCAAGCTTTGAATGTTGGATTTTAATCAATTAATCAAAGTAACTAGGGTTTACGTGTTCCCCACAGGTTCATAACTTGATAATTCTAACTATAACAATTCTTTTCTAGTATTTTGCATGCAAAGTGATAAGTTATGTATTTCTAAATCCTTGGTCCGGCATCTAGAAACTCTCACTCCGCACCTTGGTCCGGCTACGTGTGTTGCTTTCCTAACCCTTATCTTTACCTCATATTAAGCATCGTGTTCGATATTTGAGTAAGTTATTACCTTGTACCAATCATTACTAGCCTATTAGATAGTATATACTAAATCTAAATTGATAATTCTTTTCCTATTATTTACCTCCTTGGTCCGGCAAGTAGCATTAAGGCGAGTTCTAACGTTGGTCATCCGTTAAAAAGACTTCTAAGCGAAACAATTATTAATACATGCAAGACACCATTCTAGAATTGTTAATTTAGGTAGGTTTTATCTAATTATTTGTCTATGGTTCCCACAACCCTAGTTATGGAGTTTAGTTACCCATAGTCATAATCACAATATTCAAATATATTATATAAGAATTCATGTACTTAATTCAATAAGAAAGAGTAAAATCCGAAAGTTTTCTTGATTAATCACCAACAATCACTTGCAAGAATCTCAAAGTAATCAAGAATCTCCCAAAAAGTCAAATGATAATCAAAAGTCTAACACTAATACACAGAGTCTAATAATGATCCAGAGTCTAACCTAACGGAGTCTAACTATCCGGAGTCTAACCTCAAAAATGAGGTTTTTCGAACTATTTATAAAAAATAAAAACCTAATTAAACAAGGACTCTATTTGCTAGAAATCTGCCAAAACGCGACTGGGTTGACGGACCTCGCGACGGATCATCATGGTCACGACGGACCGTCATGGACTCCGTCGTCCCATACTTATGCAATTTCTTTTGTTGCTCTTCTTCATTACCCTCAACGGCAAGTATGGCGGACCGTCATAGGCACAACGGTCCGTCGAGGGCCTTCGTTCCAAAACACTTTAACTCTTGGAATATGGGTACTGGGATTACTTCTCTGAACTTCATGACGAACCTGTAGGACGGACCGTCATAGACACGATGGACCGTCACAAGCTTCGTAACCCCATACTTGGTCAGACTTCCCCATCTTCCTTCAGCAGCTGCACTACGCTGACACCTACGGACCGTCACAAGCACGACGGACCGTCATAAGCTCCGTAGGTGGTCTCTTCTGCATTTCTTCGCTCAAAATCTCCGCATTCAGCTTTGGACAGATTTCCTGCAAAATAAAAAGAAACTAATATAGAAATTAGCACAAAAAGGATTTTAGACACACTAAACTTAAGGAAAAAGTATTAATAATACCATGAAACCACGGTATATCACTTGGCCACCACTTCCTTAACCCCTCAAAACTAAGTCCCCACCACGAGCCTTTCCACGGCCAATAATAGCTTTCACGAGCCGTGAAATAGCTTGTGTGGAGGGGGCTATTTTGGGCAGATTTCACCTAGCCACAGCCTAGCCCACCACGATCTGTGGTCCTCAGCATTGTCCATTACGGTGGTCGTGAGAAGGTGGGAAATGTCTGGGGAAAATTGGGCTGCCCTAGCCCTCTTCCTTGGCTCTAGACCTCTCACATAGACTTAGTTTAGGCTACTAGATTCCAAGGTCTTACAATATAGATGTCTCTACTTAAATCAACATGACTCTACTAGATATAAGTGTTGCACAAATAACACCGTTGAACCTAACGCTCCTACACCCAGTGTCACAACCCAAAACCAGGGTCATGATTGCCCCCAACTATTTTCCACTAGTAGGTTAGCCAACCCATATACTAAAACTTGTAATAATAGGCCTAGGGAGCGTAAGAGATAGAAGGAAACATAATGATACACAATTAAGATAGGATCAGTGGAAATAGAAATGAATATATATATATATATATATATATATATGCACAAACACACAACCCTCAAACAAGGACAAAATAAGATATCAAACCCCAAAACATGGTGTATTCTAGAGAAAAATTACTATAAAACAAGAATAAAGACTAGACATGTACAAGAGATATATAATTTATCTCGAAATACAAAAGACTAGCAAAATTCTATAGAACAAGATGAGTCAACCATAAGTGTCAATAAGCTCACTCTCAATCTTAAAAATATCATCCGCAGCGTCGTGACAATCAATGCAACTAACAAGCACTTTGATTTGCATCATGAAAATAGATGTAGAGTGTTCTATGAGTACTAAAACAACACGTAGAAAATATATATCATTGGCAGTTAAGCGTGCGATTGCAATAATAAAATAACAAGCGAGTATCACAAGTAACATAGTGAAAGTAATGGCTTAACTTAACATGCATGAAAGTAAAGCTACTAGTAAATAATGAAAGCGACAAAGTTATCTAATCCTAACAAGTCCACTATAAGGGTAGAACGCACACACAAGGCATAATAATGATAAAACCTTGAAACAATAACCTCACAGAACTCATAGTATCATAAGGGACTAAATGTAAAACATCAACTACAACACATAACTCTTACTGTTATCTTTATTCTCGAAGAAGTGATACTAACTTCTTATTACAATTCTCGAAATGCACTTCAAACTCAGAATTATTACAACTGAATAATTACTCCAAACAAACTAGCTTTGAAAGAAAACCTAATTTAAGTTCTTTTTTTTTGTTCTTTAAATGCCCTTTGTCATTTCGTTCCCCAAGCTAAATTCTCCGAAACTCTTTAGATACATATTCTTATCTTTCCATCGTACACCTACTCTTTTATGGCTGAATTCCTTTATACATTGAAAATTCTAATTGATTCGATAAGGAAAATATTTTAGATATATCGAATATCTCCTTTTATAGAATCCCACACTGATTCTAATTTTAAATCAACACATTTTCCGTTGAATCTTTGAAATGTGTGGAAGTGGTTCCTTGTTTCTGCTTCCATCACCGGAACTTGGTTCCTTCTTGTACTTTGTCAATTATCAAAACTTAAATGTTGAACTTGACTTTTAATCATTAACAAAGCAACAAATAGTAGGAAAACAGTATAATGACCAAATAATACTACAATCGAACTACACGAAACAATCAACAAACTCGAAGAACAAGACACTATTATCACAACACTATGACTACTAGTAAGGACTCCAAGACAATGAACCTTTCCTACTAGCATGGTTGTAGTCCTACCTAATAGCATGGATACACTCCTACATACTAACTTTCTTTACTAATTCATTTCCAGCGTGTCTTCATATCTAACGTCATATCCTCAATAATCTACAATTGATCATGTTCTATCTAATCACCTCTCCATAATACTTCATTGATCTACCTCTATTTAATTCATCCATACCCAACCTTTCACACATATGTACTAGACCATTCTTGCATCTCTTTATCACAACCTGAAATATCTCAACCTCATTTTCCACACCTTATATTCCATTGAATTTAATCCTATGTACCTTATCTGGGAGTCTTGATTCTTAATCCTATATCTCCTTGTAAATCAACACATCCAATTCAAACTTCTCATCACCACCATTATCATCTTCTAAATGTAGAGCTCTTGATTTGCCAACACTCTGTCTTATACAATATAGCTATTCTAACCATTACTTTGCAAAACTTTCCTTTAATATTAGCTAACACGTTCTTATCACATAAGTTACTAGATGTGAGCATCAATTGCATCCATCCTTCACCATATAGTGACTAACATCTTCGTCTGTCTATATATCACCTTGCATATTAGGACTAAGATACTTCAAACTACCTCTCTTTTGGATAGCATATGTATCAAGTCTCACTTTCACATCAGTCTCATGTATCACCGCACTAAACTTGTACCCCAAATATTTTTATTTGGTCCTGTTCAACCTAAGCGCTTACAATTCAAAGGTTTGTCTATCTTCCTCTCCAACTTATCATTATCCTTATGAGTCACTTCAATCAAACAATTGTCATCTGCAAATAACATACACCATGGAAAAACACTTTGAATTTTCTATGTCAAACCATCTATCACCAAGACAAAACAAAATGAGGTTATTGAATTACTATACATCATTCTGTATTTACAATCTTTGTAGTTAGTTAGTTAGTATTGTACAGTCAGTCGGTTGTTACTTAGTTTGTAACATTTTCCATTAGTTAGTTGAGTAGTTAGTTACGTCGACATCTACTTTCTGCTCTGTATATATAACTCTGATGGACTGAATAGAACTTCATTTTTTCCATCTCACAAATAATTATTCATCTGAGTTTTCTCTTTGCATTGATATGGTGGAAGCCTCCACTGTTGAAAGCTCCATTGTCACAGTTCAAATTCACTAAACTTTACATGGTATCAGCAATCTAGATCTAAAGACACTCATTCTCTTTGTTATTCTGGTTTTTTTTCTCAACAGTTCCATTGATAGCGCACTTGTGATAATCAACTATGGCGGTATGTGATACCTCTAATTCTACTAAAGTTGGTAATGGAGATATCACTTCTGCTCCAACTTTGATTGATTCGAACAATTTCATGTATATGCATCCATTTGATAATATAGGCGCGATGCTCGTACCAGTAAGTTCACTGGAGTGGTTTATCGTTCATGGAGGTGTAGTGTTTTGTGATCGTTGTCTGTAAAGAAAAAATTAGGCTTCATTACTGGTGAGTGTTCACGTCCTAGATATGATCATCACACCTACAAACAATGGGAAAGGTATGAAGATATTGTTACGCCATTGATTTTAAATTCATTGACCAAGGAGATTGTAGATAGTGTTGGGTATGTTCAGAATTTTGCTGAGCTCTGGAAAGAGTTGGAGGATAGATATGGGCAAAAGCATGGGGGGAAATTATATCAAATTCAGCAAGAAATCAATGATTTGTCTCATGGATCCCTCGACATCATAGTTTTTTATACAAAGTTGAAGAATTTGTGGGAGGAACTTAACACTTTGAATACCAAAGCTCAATGTACTTGTAGTTGCACTTGTGGAGCAAAAGAAATTTTTTACAAGTGCGAGCAAGACAGAAGGATAGTTCAATTCCGAATGGGACTCAATGAGATTTATACGCTAATACGAGGAAGTATCCTTATGATGAACCCACTACCCGCCATGGAACAAGTTTTTTCTCTGTTGGTTCAAGATGAACGACAAAGGGAGACCAATCCTTCCAATCATCTTACTCTTGACTCGACTGCCTTGCATGATGCGATTGATAAGCGCACACGCTATAATACCAACTACTCCACCAACAATTCCACAAACTTGAAGTATAAGGACAGGTTTTGCAGTTACTGCACGAGAACTTGCCATCTCATAGAGAAATGCTACCATGTCCATGGTTATCCACCTGGTCACAACAACAGTCTGAACCAAAATAGGAACACTCAGTCAGCTCAAAGGTCTAACACAACTAGGGAACATGTACGATTAATCAATACTCTCAAACACCTGTTTGTTGTAGATGAAATAAGGGTAAGGCAGTGGGAAATGCAACCTGTGCAGCTGATCTAACTATTGGGAAGGGACCAATATCCACTTCAAGTACTACAGATGAAGAGATGTTCAATGTGAATCTTACAAAATAAGAATATGGTCATCTCCAAGTTGCACTCAAACATTTCCAGAAAGATTATGATGCTGAGTGTTCTACAACCAATCAAACATTTCCCTCTTTCATTGACTTTCAAATGACACAAATCAGTATGGCACAAAAGATACTCCAATCAATATAGACACTCCTAATGTTCCTTGCAATCTACCTCCTAAACTTATTGCACCTTCTTCTACTAACACCATTTCCATGCATCCTGTACTTTCTCCTATTCAAACTTAACCTAGGAGATCCATTAGGAGGACCAAACCTCCATCTCATATGGCTGACTATGTCCACTCCATCCCACAACTTATGTTCCCTACTACTCTAGTTGTTGACCCAAATTCAACTTACAACATATCTTCCCTTAAGGCCCTTTTTTTTCTAAACATCAACACTTAGCTCATACTGATCTAATTCATATAGTCAAGATTTTGCGAGAAATGTTTGCCTTGACAGGGAGCCAGAATCATACACAGAAGTTGTTATTGATCCTGCATGGAAACTGGTCATGACACAAGAGTTTGATGTTCTGCATTCTAATCACACTTGGGACTTGGTCCCTTTACCCCCGGGAAGAAAGTTATAGGTTGCAAATGGGTATACAAAGTAAAGCACAAGGCAGATGGCAATATTGAGAGATTTAAAGCTTTACTTATAGTGAAAGTCTACACCCAACAAGAAGGCATTTATTACATTGAGACACTTTCCCCTGTGGTTAAGATGACCACTGTTAGGGCTTTGCTTGCTAAAGTTGTTAAGAAAAGGTGGTCTCTATATCAGCTAGTCATAAACAATGCTTTTCTCCATGGAGATTTACATGAAGAGGTGTACACAGACATACCTCCTGGATTGGGTGTAACATCCCCCACTCTTGTATGCAGACTGAAAAAATCACTTTATGGCCTCAAACAAGCTAGTAGGCAATAATATGCCAAGCTAACTGAGGCTCTATATTCAAGGGATTACACTAATTCCATGAATGACTATTCTTTGTTTTATAAAAAGAAAGCCACTTCCACAGTCAATGTAGTTGTATATGTGGATGACATTGTTCTTACTGGTACAGACTATTGAAATTGCAGCCCTGAAAGCTTATTTGCACAATAGGTTCAAGATCAAGGATTTGGGCCTACTGCAGTATTTTTTGGGAATGGAAGTGTTACACACACAACAAGGGATCATTATCTCTAAACGAAAGTTTGTCCTTGATTTTCTTAAAGAGTATGATTGCCTGCACCTCAGTTCTCTCACCTCTCCATTTGATCCCAACATCAAATTGAGGGTTAAAGAAGTCATTGTCTTAAATGATGTCACATATCATAGGAAGCTTGTTGGGAAAATGAATTTCCTCACTAACACCTGGCTGGATATTGCTTTTAGTGTTCAGCACCTCAGCCAATTCATGCAGGAACCCAAGGAGCTACATTTAAAGTCTGCTTTCCATCTCCTTCGATATGTGAAATCTGATCCTACCTTGGGCCTGTTTATGTCAAAAGATGCTGATTTTTTTGTCAAAGGTTATTGTGATTCCGACTAGGCCTCATGCCCTGATTCTAGAAAGTCTGTTAGTGTGTATTTGGTATTGCTTGGGGGAAGTCCTATAACTTGGAAATCAAAGAAGTAGGAGACCATCTCTTTATCTCTATGGATACTGAGTACAGATCACCTCAAAAGGTTGTAGGTGAATTGGTATGGTTGAGTCGACTACTTTCTGAACTGAATGTCCCTTTTCCAAAGAACATTTCAGTTTTTTGTGACAGCCAGTCGGCTATGAATACAGCTAAGAACCCTGTGTTCCATGAATGAACTAAGCACATCGAGGTTGATTGTCATTACGTTCGACAAGTTCTCCATGAAGGACTTATCTCACTGCATCACACATTGCTACTCACAACCAGCTAGCAGATGTTCTCATTAAGGCTTTAACTGGGATCAAACATTCCTCCATTCTTCACAAGTTGGCAGTGTTATCTTCACCACCAACTTGAAGGGGTGTATTGAGTTATTATACATCATTCTGTATTTACATTCTTTGTAGTTAAATAGTTAGTACAGTACAGTCAGTCAACTTGTTAGTTAGTTTGTTACGTTCCATTATTAGTTGAGTAGTTAATTACGTCTACATCTACTTTCTTCTCTGTATATATAACTCTGATGGACTGAATAGAACTTCATTTTTTCCGTCTCACAAATAACTGTTCATCTGAGTTTTCTCTTTGCGTTGATATGGCGGAAGCCTCCATTTTTTAAAGCTCCATTGTCACAGTTCAAATTCACTAAACTTTACAGAGGTAATGAACTTAGTATACACCACATATACACCTTATCATCCAATCACCTCTATATGACCTCTCTAGAAACTGTGTCATAAGTTTTTTTAGGTCCATGAACACCATATATAATTTCTTATCCCCCCTCCCGGTACTCCAATTCCAGTCTTCTTACGAGATGCATGGCTATTGTAGTTAAGCGTCCTAGCATAGATATTCCGAATTGGTTCTTAAAAATAGTCATAATCCAGCAAAGCTCAACTATACCAAACCTTCACAGTGTATCTTAACAACTTGATAATACCCCTGTAGTTATTGCAGTTCTTATCAATGTCACCATTATTTTTGTACAATGAAATCATAGTACTCCATCTCTACGGTTTGAGCATCTTAGAATCTTCAAAATGGCATTAAGCAATTATGCTATCAACTCCATACCTCTAGGCATCCTACGAATAGACCATTTAAACTTTTCAATCTTTATACGCCTAAAACAATTATAATTGAGACAACTCTCCAAGTGCTCCAAATTTTCTAGTACGATGTCATTGTCCACCTCTTCATATCCTTCTAATAAGTACCTACTCCACCAGTTTTTTCTCGTCCTCATCTTTGATATTACTGTTAGGATCGGAAATAAGCAGGTGTAAACGAGGAAGCTAGCAATGCAAACCTCAAAAGACAACGAGTAAGAAGACAACGAGAAATATACCAAAAGACACAAAAATTTAACGTGGTTCGGTCAATCGACCTACATCCACAAAGGAGATGAGCAATCCACTATAAATATGAGAGTACAAAATACAGAGGGGAACAACCTCAACCAATTCACTCGGAATACATGGGAGGTTCACACAAGTAATAACGTATCAAACTTGTGACCCACAAATTCTCCCTCTAACCAAAACTCTCAAAGTCCTTAAGACTACATTGTGAATGTTGATTAAGTTAGAAGGAACATGCCTCTATTTATAGATTCTTAAACCTTTTCCTACCAGAAAAAGGATTAGTCAATCCAAAACCTTTTCCTAAAAGGAAAACCTATGATAAGAAATCAGGGCAAATAAAACCCAACAACTACCCGTCCTATTTTACATGTCACCTTTCGAATTTCAAGAGTCAAACAAATTTATCTTTGATCATAAATTTTTCATAGATTTTATAAACATTTTGAGTTATCAATTATTATGACTTATAGTACATTTTACGTAGTTTACAAATACATAAATTTCATTTCAGAATAACTGATGATTTCATGCATAAATTTTCGTTCAAACATAATTGTTTGACTGTTAAAACTTAAAAGGTGTCAAATAAATTGAGACAAAGGGAGTACATTTCACTTGGATCAAAGTTTTAGTCCTCTCTCTAGCCTTGGCTAGCCTGTATGACCTCTTAACCTCACCTTTGTCCTCTAATTTTACGTATAAGTCTTCAAAAGGTTGTTGTTTTTACCGTCGTAACTGTTAAGTTAGCATCCTTCATATACTTCTCCCTCTTAGCGATAAATACATTCAAAAAAAAATTCAATTTTCTGTTGAAGTTAGTAGTAAAGGTTATTTAATATATGAAAATATATCTTTCTTTAAAAAAATAGTGGACCAATGTTGCTCAAAAGTATGTTTAAGATCATTTGTATGAAAGATGATTTAAATAATTTGAGTTACAAAACAAACAATAATAATTTTTGGGTAATGAACACACTCAATAATATAAATTTAGAGGTAAAATTAGATAGACTTAATAATTATATTTTAAATAATTAAGAATAAAATATTTATTAAGTTGAGTATAGTGATATCCAAGTTAGATCTTTAGAGCACTATGAATGTTGGTTCTTTAAGACTGATGATGTAATTTTTGCAAGGAATTGGAGACAAGGGTAGACCAAGAAAACCCATGTGTTAGAGCAATGATTCTTTGATATGCCAATTTGTTTAAATTCAAAAGTTCATATTGATCGTAATGATAAAGTAAGAAAGAAAATTAATTATATCCTGATTTAAAAAGTAAACAAGTAATATGAAATAAATATCTAATTTAATAAGTGAATAAATAATATTAAATAAATACTTTTAATAAGATGTTCATCTAATCTGAGACGTGAAGTTGAAGTTGTTTGTTATCCCCTCCATCCACAATTGTTTGTCAGGGTAAGCTCATGCACTTACCTCAAAGAGAATTTAATAGAAGATGTAATTTGAATAATATAATTTTACTATATCAAAAATCTACGTAACTTTTTAATTGAATAAAATAAAATAATTATTAATAACAAAATTTTTAAAAAAAACTAATTATTTTTTAATTTATTTAAATTGATAATTAATTTTTAATATGTAATTTTAATATATCTGTCAAATAATTTTAGGGAGTATTTCCTCCTCTACTAGTGCACATAAGGAAATCTTCTCATATATAATATAATAATATAAAACTTTTAGCATTACCCTAGATAAAGAGATCTAAGAATCCCTAAAGTTGTCAGACGTATCAATCATGAAGATTTAATTATTTTTTGCCACCATCCCAGCTATTATACTCAATGTGCTACCACATGTTTCCAACAGTTCTTTTCAATGCATTATTTACAAAAATTTATTAATTGCATGCAAATATCTATATATTGTAGATAGGTTTCTATATTAATTCAAACACCAATTGACTTCTTTGGGATATAAAAATGATTTCTCCATCTTCTTGAAACTTGTGCCCAATTTTTTTCCCTCTATAGTTAATATACTCGTTTCCTCTCGTCAAACCAATTGTCCACTATTAATTTGCATATTTTTATATAAATTATTAATAAAAAGATAATTTATTATATTACTTTTTAAATATAATAAATATATATCTTGAAAAATATAATAGTAAAATAAATATAATTAGTGATAAGGTTGATTGATGAGAATTAAGTATAAAATTATTCATTGATTTTATAAAGTGAATAAATATTATTTGACATCTCAAAATAGTATAGTAGGCGATTATTGTTAAAAAGAAAGAGTAATAAAATACGAGAATAGTTTCAACTAAAAATTTGCACTTTGCATAATTAATTTGAATAAACAAGATATCAAATATGGGAACGATAACGTCTTCTTGAAGTGATTAAGTAATATACTATGGCTCCTCTTGATATTGATTCTAGCTTATGCAAATCTATCCAAAATCATTCGAATTGGTAATAGAAAATCTAGGGCTATTGCAATGATAATAATCATAACTCCTTGTCTAAATCAAAATCTTGAACCATCTGTAAATAAATTTGTTTTTTACCTAGAATTATATAAAGCTTTAGATTAAAAGTCTGTTT